ACTAATTAGGAGACTAAAGAAGAAACAAGATTGAAATTTACTTGGATGTGTAAGAAGTGTTTAGTCCTAGAGAAATGAGAATAATCACAGTAAAAGCAGTTATAGACACTTTTGTTCCATGTCTTCATTATACTAGAAAATGAACATTTATAGAGTAAATAGAGGAAAAGAAAAAACGTTAAAAGATTAAATTGACAGAGGATAAGAGGGAAACTAAGAACGTGTGGTAGCAAAATGAAAACACTTTTTAAAAAAAGATGAGCAAGAAAGACTAATTATTGTCCTTTTGGCTTAGAAATAAAGAGGACTTCAGTGATCTTGATGGGCAGTTCCAAAATATTCAGGCCCTACAATGTACCAGGCACAGCAGAAACTCTATGCAAGTAATAGTAAACAATTCTCTCTCCCTTTAATAAGCTTAGGCTGTGGACTAATGTGTTTAAATGCTGATGGCAAAGAATAAAAAAAAGCAGTTGAAAATACGCTGAGAGACAATATGATTGATGATGGAGGTAAAATGAAACTATCAAGACCCACGTGGAGGTCTTCCCTTATGGGGAGGAACAGTTATTTCTAAGCTGAGTGAGGCCAGGATAGGAAGAGGAGTATCTAACTAAGCATAGTTTTCTCTTAAAAAATACCTTGTCACTGCTGATTCCTGCAGGGTATATAAATATGGGGATGGGAGGGAAGATGGGCTAACACCTACCTAATGCTTCCTGCTGAAAAAAGTGACTTTAAAAACTGTTTTCTCCTGCAAATGTGTATCTGCAGCAGATATTTTAGTTCAGATTAGCTTTGAAAATATTTATGTAATTCTTTATGATTGTTTTGCACTAGCTGGTTTCACTGAAATGATCAGAGGCACGAATCATAAATTGTGCAGGGCCTGGGGGAGGGCGCTCCCAGCCCAGGCCAGTTTTGAATGCCCCCCAGGAAGAACTCTGTGGTTATAACAGAACTTGATGGTTGCACCTTTCTCCTCCCAATATGCTCTTCCCGCTCGTGAAAGGGCTTCCTATGGACTAGCTCGCCTCTGGCATGTGGCTGGTCGTGGGTGCTGGCCTGCGCTGCACCCCTCCCTGCCCCGCCCCAACGAGTCCTTTCAGCTCAAGCAATACCTGGCCCGCTGTGGGTGCTGGCCTGCGCTGCACCCCTCCCTGCCCCGCCCCAACGAGTCCTTTCAGCTCAAGCAATACCTGGCCCGCTGTTGGCCTGCAGTTATTAATTATGCACGAAATCATGGCCCTATGAACGGTGAAGAGGTCCGTCAAGCCTGTCTGCACACAGCCTTGCTCACCGCTGGGACGATTTCTTTGCAGGATGTACACTTGGGCCATTGCTGGGGGTGGGGGTGCGGGTGGGAGTGGGAGAACTGGGTTAGAAGAAGTGCCCCGCCCCCCGAGGCTTCCAGTCCAGCAACGGAATCTCTGATCCCGACCAGGGTTGGGAATAGTTTTTAATTAGTCACAGGAATTACAATCAGCTCCCGCCTCCCCCGCGGCCACTTCCGGCCCGACCACGGGAACTGACGGGGGCGGAGCTCAGGGGGAGGCGCGAATCCGAGCGGACGCTACGGTCGCCGTTTCCCGCCCCCCCACCCCCCGTCACACCCCCGCTTCCCCGGGCCCAGCATGTCAAACTCGCGGCCGGCGGGCCGCATGCCTCGTTTAAATAAACGCGTGATGCGTTTCGTGTTCCGCTAAACTTGCAGGGCATCGGAGACGCTGGTAACCCTCAGGCCCCCTTCAGCGGGCGCGGGAGAGAACAGCGAAGTGGTCCCTGGGCCCGAGCACGCATGCGCGGGAGCTGCGCCGCCGGCGAGCGTGTGACGTCACCGGCGCGCCCTTCTGAACGCGGAGTTTGGCTGCGGAGCGCGGTGAGTACATTTCTGGAGTTGGCAGTGTGCATCCTAGATGGGTCGGGACCGGACCTGGCATGATAAAGAGGCTGATTTCGTTTGGACCCAGAGGTGGCGTCGTTATTGCGGAGAAGCTCTTCGTGCGCGTCGCTGTCTGATCTGCGGTGCCCAGCGCCCCGCTTGGGGTCGGGGAGCCCAGTGGGTTAGTCCCCTGTGCCGGCCCCCACGGAGGCTGCCGGCGGGGGAGGTTGGCGCGCACACACCCAGTTTGAGTGTTGGCACTAACTGTCCACTTAAGAGTTCTGAGAAATAAGACTGAACCCACAGTGCACACGTTAACGTCAGTTCAGCAGTCATTTCTTTTGATTGTATCGGGCGGGAGGGAGGAGGCAAAGGATATACTTCGGAGTAATTTGCTTTTGGTAGTACAGTTTGCCTACGCAATATTAACACTGTCAAAACTTTCCTTGCCCAGCGGCTTGTGCATTTTAAAGCATGGTGGTAAAGGCTATTCTTAGCTCAGTTATCACCGATAATAAAACTGACTTTTAGAAGTACTTTTAAAATACAGTGGGGCCTTGACTTACGAGTGTCCCGACTAACGAGTTTTTTGAGATACCAGTTGTCTCTCAGCCAATTTTTTGCATTGAGTTGACAGAGTAATTTGAGTTCACGAGCTCTTTAACGAGCTCGGTCTCGGAACGAATTAAACTCGTAAGTCAAGGCCCCACTGTATAAAACTAAAATTTCTGTTCTATTCCATTGATCTATATGCCTGTTCTTGTGCCAGTACCAGACTGTTTTGATTACAGCGGCTTTGTAGTATAACTTGATGTCTGGCATTGTGATCCCTCCAACTTTGTTCTTAAGATGGGTGCAGCTATTCGGGGTCTTTTTTGGTTCCATATAAAATTTTGGAGTATTTGTTCTAGATCTGTGAAATCTGCTGTTGGTATTTTAATGGGGATTGCATTGAATCTATAGATTGCTTTGGGGTAGTATGGATACTTTAATGATGTTGATTCTACCAATCCATGAACATGGTATATTCTCCTCAATCTCTTTTTTCAATGTCCTGTAGTTTTTGGAGTACAGGTCTTTTACTTCCCTGGTTAAGTTCATGCCTAAGTATCTTAATTTTTTGTTGTTGTTGCAATGATAAATGGGGCTATTTGTTTAGTTTCTCTTTCCGAGAATTCATTATTGGCTTATAAAAATGCCATCGATTTCTGGGTGTTAATTTTGTAACTTGCTACATTGCCAAATTCATTTATTATAGAAATTTTTGGTGGAATCTTTAGGATTTTCTATGTACAATATCATGTTATCTGTGAATAACTAGAATTTTACTTTCTCCTTTCCAATTTGAACGCCTTTTATTCCTTCTTCTTATCTGATCGCTGTGGTTAGGATTTTCAGTACTGTGTTGAGTAAGAGTGGTGAAAGCCGACAGCCCTGTCTTGTTCCTGTTCTTAGGGGAAATGGTTTTAGTTTTTGCCCAGTGAGTTGGTGTTGGCTGTAGGTTTGTCATGTATGGCCTTTATTAAAATGTTTAGATATGATCCCTCTATTCACCCTTTGCTGAGAGTTATCAAAAAAGGGTGTTAGATTTTGTCGAACGCTTTTTCTGCGTCTATAGATATGAACATGTGATTTTTGTCTTTCAATTTTTTATGTGATGCATCACATTATTGATTTGTGAATATTGATCCAGCCTTGCATCCCTGGAATAAATCCTACCCAAGCCATTATGCTCAACTAATATTTGAAAAAGAAGGCAAGAATGTACAATGTAGTCCAGACAGTCTCTTCAGTAAATGGACTGGAAAAATTGGACAGATACATGCAAAAAAATGAACTAGACCACCAACTTAAACCATATTCAAGAATAAACTGAGAATCGATGAAAGACTTAAATGTAAGACATGAAACCATAAAAATCTAAGAAGAAACCATAGGCAGCAAAATCTCAGACATCTCTCATGGCAATATGTTTACAGATACAATATGTTTATATCTCCTAGGGCAAAGGAAACTAAGGAGAAAATAAACAAATGGAAATACATCAAAATAAAAAGCTTGTGCACAACAAAAGAAACCATCAACAAAACAACAAGAAAGCTCACTGCATGGGAGAACATATTTGGCAATGAAAAATCAGATAAAGGTTTATATCTAAAATATATAAGGAATTCATGCAACTTAAAATTCATATACCTGTCAGAATGGCTATCAACAACAAATGACAAGCAAGTGTTGGCGAGGATGTGGAGAAAAGGGAACTCTAGTACACTGCTGGTGGGAATGCAGACTGGTGCAACTACTGTGGAAAACAGTATGGAGTTTCCTCAAAATATTAAAAATTGAGCTTCCATTTGACTACATGATCCAATTTCTAGGAATATATCCTACAATACCTGGAATACCAATCAGAAAGAATGTGTGCACCTATGTTTATAGCACAGTTTACAATAGCTAAGATCTGGAAACAGACCATCAGTAGATGAATGGATAAAAAAGCTGTGCTACATTTATACCATGGAATACTATGCAGCTGTTAAAAAGGATCTCTTACGCTTTGAGACATCATGGAGAGTCTATGCTAAGTGAAATAAGCCAGTCAAAGAAAGACAAGTATCACATGATCTCATTCATATGTTGAATCTAATGGACAAAATAAGCTGATGAACAAGGTAGATCCAGAGACATAGAAGCATAGGAACAGCTGTGGAACCTCAGAAAAGATCGGGGGGAGATTGCGTGGGTGGGTGAGAAGAGATCAAAGAACTTGTATGCATATATGCATAACCCATGGGCACAGACAGTAGGGTGGTGAACGCCTCGGGAGTGTGGTGGGGGCAGGCTAGAAGGAGTCAATGAGGGAAGGAAGGGGACATATGTAATACTTTCGACAATGAAGATTTAATTTTAAAAAATAAAATACAAAAGCAAATAGAAGGGGATTAAGTTTCAGTGATTTAGAAGAATGTGTATATTTATCCTTGCAATAAAATTATAGCATAATCCATTCTCTAGCTCTTGTCCACGAACAGTGATAACTAACTAAAAGGAAAAGCAAAGCAAAACTAAGACATAGAAGCTTAAAGCAGATATTGACTACATTTTGTATAAAACATTGGTCTCTGTATTTTCAGCATCAAGATAATCAACTTCCCTGATTGAATTTGCTTTGGACAGCAGATCTGATATGCCACTGTAAAGCAGATCTGATATGCCACTGGAATTAATAAAAGAAGTCAATGGGGTGCCTGAAAATGAGCCACTAAATAAACTACACAAAGTAGATTTCAGAGGCCTACAGCTAGGTTGTGATTATAGCAAGAAATATGTCCAGGTAAGAATGTTCATAACTCAGAATAGTTAATCTTTTGTTTTTAGTAGTTAGACTGTTGTATGTCCAGGTGTGTTTTTTCTTTGTATTTCTCCTGCTTCTTAGTAACTGAGCTACTTGGATCCATAAGTCAATGTTTTTCATCAAGTTAGGGAAATTATTGACTAACTAGAGGCCCGGTGCATGGGGTTTGTGCACTGATGGGGGGCGTGGCCTGCAGGGATCGGCCCACCATGGGAGTGCCACTCATCCTGGTCAGCTGAGTGCGGCTGTGGACCTGCTCCCGCTGCGGTAGCAGCTGCTCATCTTGGTCAGCCGAATGGCACTCCCACTGTGGGAGCGCACTGACCACCAGGGGCAGCTCCTGTGTTGAGCGTCTGCCCCCAGTGGTCAGTGCACATCATAGCAACCTGTCGACTAGTCGTTCTGGTCGTTTCGCCGTATGGTTGCTGGGTTTCTATTATATAGGATATATAAAATTCCTTGGAATTTTTTCCCTCTGACATTATTACTCTTTTCTCCTTCTGGATGTCAATTACATGTATGTTTGTATGTTAGAGTGTTTGCTGGTTACCTACAGGTCTCTTTTTCTTCAGCATTGTTTTCTTTTTTAGTGGAGAGAGATTTTTAGATTGAGTAATTTTTATTGATCTGTCTTCAAGTTCACTGAACCTTTTTTTCTTCCATATCCAATATTCTGTTACGCATATTTAGTGAACATTTCATTTTCATTATTGCACATTTAAGTTAGGGACAAAGGAGAAAATGATGGGAGATTGGTGAGAGACTTATTAGTATAGTAAGTCCAAGAGTAAAGGAAAGAGCAAGAAGGCTACATTTTGGTTTTGCCCTTCTAATCAATATTCTCCATGTAGATACTTGCCTCTCATCTCTCATTGGAGGTACTTCACTTTTCCTAGATTTCTGGTTATTTGTTTGCTTTCTGTTTTCAACTCTGGTGTGTCAAGAAAAATTGTGAATTTGTTCATTGTTCCACTTTTTCTCGTTCTTTCCAGCTTTGTACCTCCTAAGTGAAACTATTTACCTTTACTTTGAACCATTTTGTGCTGCTGATAGTCATATTTTCTTTTTTCTGATGCTTTTAAGTTAAATTGATTTATGAACATAACTGCTTTTTCTTGTTGGCTATATCAAAGTTGGAATATTAGTTTAGGAGATATGTATTATAGGATCTGTTGTTAAACTTCATTAAATCAATTATATTTCTGTGTGTAAGTTTTTAAAGAGCCCTATAATATATTTGATCATGGAATCATTAAATTTTAGAGCTAAAAGAAATGATAAAAACTATCCAGATTAAATAATTTATTTTTCTGAAACTCTGATTAAATAACTTTTTTTGACTGACAGAGTTGCTTAGTTATAGAAGCAGAACAAAGACTAAACTGTATTTGTGCCTTAGTCCATTGATTTGTCCACACTGTCCTTATTTATGAGATTATCATTTTTCACTTTAAAATTTTTCCTTAATAAGTTTTAATTTCTTTCTAGGAGCAAACTCTTAATCTTTTTCTTTAGTAGAAAACAGTTTTACAGGCTAAAATAAAGTTGAAGTTGAGCTAGTTCATCTTTATATATAAAATGAGGAATTGGTAATATTTAACTAATGGGATTAAGAAATTAATTTATGGGGGAGGTGCAGGGTTAGAGATCAACCAAAGGACTTGTATGCATGCATATTAGCATATCCAATGGACATAGACACTGGGGTGATGGGGCCTTGCTCTTGGGGGTAGAAATGGCTGGGGGCAGTCAATTGGGGAAAAAGAAGACATGTAAAACTTTAGACAATGAAAAACAAACAAAAAAAAAGAAATTAATTTATGAACGAAAGTATTTTTAGGCCCTCATTTTTCTCTAGATAAATCATTTTCATGTCTTAAAAATACTGACTTAAACATGTGATTTCTTGCAAGATAAAAGTCAATTGCCTTTAGAAAATGATTCCAATCTTATATCTTGGTGTTATAATAACCTCTTTTGACTTCTGTGTAATTCTTTTTCTCTCATTTCAGGGAAAACTTTCACATATCTCTCCTTTAACCTATGGTGGAAACAGAACACCTATTTTGAAGATTGGACTAGAAGGTATATAAGATCATTTCTATTTAACTTTCTTCCTGTAATATACAAATGGGTAACTTTGTATATAAATATACACACAGATAAATACACACAGAAGTGCAATTTTACTTATTCGATGATATAATTGAGTCATAGCATTCGGCCTTGCTGCAGTGGTTATAGGAAGTGATTCCTAGAGAATGAAGATTATGGAGATTCTTTCCCAAAGCCTAGAAGATCCAAATGACGTGACTTGTACAATGTTTATTTCTTATACCCAAGTAATTTTTATTTTCAAAATTACAGATAGCTTAGTTTTTATACAGCTCTTTTACTCTTCAATATATGGGTGCTGGGGGAGAAGACCACACTTGTCTAAATTAAAACTTAATATTCCAAAAACTGTAGTTACTAGAAGTTCAATAAATGAAATATTTGTGGGGTGATATTGTTATATTGTATAAAAATTGAACAATTAATATCTTGTTCAGTTTCTTTTGATTATAAATATGGGAAATTAAATAGAAAGTGGTCATTAGGTGATATTAATGTGATATTTATAGAGATTTATAGATCATATTCTACTTGAAACTTGTTATAGTTTTGGTTTTTATGCCCAGTACATTCTCTTCATTGTGTTTGAAATGGAAGTAGTAAACCAAAATTGAATTGTAAACATTGTAATTATTCTTTATAATTACATTTTGAAGTAACTATTGTTTTTATTTTTTTCAAAATATTTTTTAAAATATATTTTATTGATTTTTTACAGAGAAGAAGGGAGAGGGATAGAGAGTTAGAAACATCGATGAGAGAGAAACATCGATCAGCTGCCTACTGCACACCCCCTACTGGGGATGCCCTTGACTGGAATCGAACCTGGGACCCTTCAGTCCTCAGGCCGACGCTCTATCCACTGAGCCAAACTGGTTAGGGCTTCAAAATATTTTTAATTGATTTTTAGAGAGACAGTAATTTTTAGAGAGAGAGGGAGAAACATTGACATGAGAGCTTCGCATCTTTTGGCTGCTTCCTGCATGCCCACTACCAGGGATCCAGTCCACAACCCAGGTATGTGCTCTATCCCAGAATGGAACCAGCAATCCTTTGGTGCACAGGATGATAATGCCCAAGTAGCTGAGCCACTCCGGTCAGAGCATAACTATTGTTTTTAGAATGTAGTTGCCATCACTTTTCTGGTGTGTATAAAACTGCTATATCGAATAAGTGTTTTCCTGTGTGTGTGTTTTTCTCTAGAACAAGAAAATTCAGATTCGGAGAGTAACGCCATCAATGTGTTATTTTTTGGAAAATTAGCAAAGGACTGTGCAAAAGTTTTCTCTGAAGGGGTAAAATATTTTCATATTACTTTATCACTGTAGAAGTGGGTTTAGAATTATTGATGATGCTATAGTCATCCTGTAGACTTTTTTTTTTAGAGATTCATTACATATTTGCAGGTATGTAAAAGAATGATACTTAAAGAAGCAACATCTTTAAAATTGCAGCAACCCTAAGATAGTAAAACTCATCATTGATATAAAAAGGGACATTTTTTCCTTTTACTTCATTTTAATTTTTAGGGTTCAATGGAATGTCTTAAAGATATATACATTTACCCTCAATTAAAAAAAAATTCTTACTAAGAAATAATATGAGCAGTAGCTCTCTGTATGTTTATAATGTTTCCTTTTTTTTTTTTTTTTTTATCCTCACCCAGGTATATTTTTGGAAGGGAGGGAGACAGAGAGAGAGAGAAATATTGATGTGAGAGAGACACATCAATTGGTTGCCTCCCGCATGCTTCCCAACCAGGGCCAGGGATTAAACCTACAACCCAAGTATGTGCCCTTGACTGAGAACTAAACCCACATCCCTTTAGTTAGCAGGCTGACACTAACTGCCAAGCTTCACTGGCAAGGGCTATAATATTTTTTTGTAATTGTTTTAAAAATACATGCCTGCTAAATCCTCATCAAAATGCTATCAAAACGAACCCAGCAGCATATTAGAGCAGACACACAGACCAAGTGGGATTTATCCTGGGAGTGCAAGATAAGAAAATCAGTCATTGCAATACATCACATTAATAGAACAAAGGAAAAAAGGAAATGATCATCTTAATTGATGTAGAAAAGGCATTTCATAAAATCCTACACCTGTTCATAATCAAAACACTTAGACAACTAGGAATAGAAGGGAACTTCCTCAACGTTATAAAGAACATTTATGAAAAATCCACAGCTAATATCATACTCAATGGTCAAAGACTGAAAGCATTTCCCCTAAGATTAGGAATAAGACACAGGAAGCTCACTTTCTCCACTGCTACTCAACATTGTACTGGAAGTTCTAGCTAGAGTAATCCTATATAATAAAATGGTAATATGAAAATTGACCCTGATGGCAGAACGACCACTGAACTAGTCACTATGAGGTGCACTGACCACCTCTTGGTCCCTTTCCCCGGCCGGCAGGCTCCGATCGCCTGGTGGCCACCCGTGGTGAGGGCGGGGCCAGCGAGTGGGTGGGAACAGCCAACCTCTCGGTTCCTTCCCCCAGCCATCAGGCAATAATCACCTGATGGCAAATGGGGAGCCAGGGATGGGTGGCGGCCGGGGTCGGGGCTGGCTGTGGGCAGCTGGGGAAGATGGCCCTGATTGCAGGCCAGGCCTAGGGACTGTACCCGCGCATGAATTTTGTGCGCCGGGCCTCTAGTTAAAAGAAGAAATAAAAGACATCTAAATTGTACAGGAAAAAGTACAACATGATAACATGATCCTATATTTGAAAATCCCAAAGGATCCAAAAGAAAGCTATTAAAACTAATAATGAGCAGTATTTCAGGGTGTAAGGTCAACACACAAAACTCAGTAGGATTTCAATACACTTAACAATGAACAATCTGGAAATGAAATTATGAAAATTATTTCAGAGATGATTGCATCTAAAGCAGCGGTTCTCAACCTGTGGGTCGCGACCCCTTTGGCAGTCGAACGACCCTTTCACAGGGGTCGCCTAAGACCATCCTGCATATCAGATATTTACATTATGATTCATAACAGTAGCAACATTACAGTTATGAAGCAGCAACGAAAATAATTTTATGGTTGGGTCACAACATGAGGAACTGTAGTATTTAAAGGGCCAGAAGGTTGAGAACACTGATCTAAAGGAATAAATTTACGACTTGTACACTGAAAGTTAAAATAAAATAAGACCTGTATAAATGGAAAGACATGTATTCCTGGGTAGGAGGACTTAATATTAAGCTGTCAAAACTACCTAAAATGATCTATAGATTCAATGCAATGTCTATAAAAATTTCAGTGACCTTTTGTGCAGAACTGGAAAAGTCAGTTCTCAAATTCATAATGAGTTTCAAGGGACCCTGAATTCCAAAATAATCTAGAAGAAAAAAAAAGTCACAGGACTCATGTTTCATGATTAGTAAAACTTACTCAAGTGATACTGTAATCAACAGTATGGAAAGGGCATAAGGGCATGTATATCAGTGGAATAGAATTAAGGGTTAAGAAATAAACACATATATCTATGGGCAGTTAATTTTTTAGAAAAATATATTTTTATTGATTTCAGAGAGGAAGGGAGAGGGAGAGAGAGAGAAACATCAATGATGAGAGAGAATCATTGATTGGCTGCCTCCTGCACATCCCATGCTGGGATCGAGCCCACAACCTGGGCATATGCCCCAACCAGGAATCTAACTGTGACCTCCTGGTTCATAGGTCAGTGCTAAACCACTGAGCCACCCTGGCTAGACAGTTTAACCAGTCTTTTTTAAATCTTTTACTAAAAATATTCTATTACTAATCTTTTACATATATGATATCTTTTTTTTCTAATCTTTTAGTAAAAATATTGTATTACATTTGTATGGAATTTCACAAATTGCAAAGTGCTTCCATATGTTTATCATTTGATAAACATAGTAACCTCTAGTAATCCCCTGTGGTGATGGTCATTAGTACTGTTCTGAAAATAACCATTCCGTGCCTAAGATTTGCTATAGAACTTGTAGTAAGTGTAGAAACTGTCTCCACAAATGTATTTTTTTTCCTGTCTAAGGGAGATATAGTGGACTTGAATTAGGTCTTGAAAATATTTATCTTAAGTATTGTTCTTATGTGGCCATAGTTTTGAAAACATTTAAGCAATATGCAAAGGTATAACCAGAAAAGCAGACACTGCCCCGCTACCTCTGAACATACTCCCATTGCCTTGTCCCATTGTACTGCGCGTGCTTGCTCGCTCGCTCTCTCTCTCTCTCTCTCTCTCTTTTTTTTGGTATCCTTTCAGCTTTTATAAATACGTGTGTATATGTATGGATAACTACATATGCACATGTATACATAAATAATTTTGTATCCATATACATTTTACCAAGTGTCTTCTATCCATATTTTGTAAATTGCTTTTTTTTTCATAATATATCTTGGCTATCTTAGAAGAGGATTTTAAAAATAGTTACATGTTTTTGAATGTTAAGGAATCTGTTTGCTTATATTTTTAAATACATTTCCACCTTTATCCTTTAGGATTCTAATATTAAATTTTTATTTGAAAAATAATATAAAAGGTTATAATATAATGAATTAGCAAAACATGTATAATGCATCTGCAAAATATATACTGTATACTAGATATTAGTATTTTACCTGACAGTGAAAAGTGTTTTCTTCTATTGAAATTTTAAAAATAGATATTGAAATAGAATAGAACTATACTAGCTAATTAGTACTTGTCAGGTAATAGAGGATGTTAACAATGGTAAGTAAGATTTCTCCTTTTTAAAATACAGTGGTGAGAAGACTTAGGTCAAGTTTACTTTAAATTCTTTCTGGGTTTAAAATCCACAAATGCTGGTCATTTGGGAGGTCTAAGTAGGCTATTTAATTCAGAGCTTATAGTATTAAGGTTAAAGATTATTGCAAATAAAAGGTAAAACTTACTGCATAAAACAATGAATTTTCTGTTTTGATTCCTGTACCTTTATTTGTTTCGTGCTCGTGCCCATAAGGTTAGCTCTGTATTTGAATACAACAAATATCTTAAAACATCAAAAAATTTTTTTAACAAAAGTTTAATTTTTGCTTTGCTAGACTAATGATACATTTTGCTGGAATACATATGTTCTCACTTTACTAGTTACTCCTTCAGTATGAGACCCCTTTTTTTCTTTTCTCCAGTTTTAGCTCTTATTTAAAGTAAGTTTGAACGTTTAATATCTATACTAATAAAAGGGTAATATGCTAATTAGTCCAAGAGACCTTCCAGACGTCCTTTTGGACAAAGCCATGGTGGCGGGGCCGAGGTAGAGGTGGTTAGGGGCAAGTAGGCCAGGAGGGGAGGGCAGTTGGGGGTGATCAGGCCGGCGGGGGGGGGGGGCAGTTGGGGGCGAGCAAGCTGGCAGGGGGGATCAGTTGGGGATGAGCAGGCTGGCAAGGGGGGGCAGTGGGGACGATCAGGCCAGCAGGGGGGCATT